AACAGTAGGAGAGGAAATAAGGAACTAATAAAAAAATAGTATCACAGTTGGTCAATCCTGCTTTTCTTTTCCCCTTCCTCTCTCATTATGTCTGTATCCCAAAGGATGGCTTATCTTTAAAGTTTTACATTGCAGTAGAGGGAAAAAATATGTTTTCCTCTAATTTAAGGTCCCACTTTAAGACAATTCATGATTGTATGCTGATAATCATCATCATATCCATGATTATTTTAAAAGCCATGTAAGTGCAATGGAAGAAATGCTACAAAAAGTAGTGTCCTATAAATTTACTCTTAATCATTGCACCTGTCCTACAGGAATTGTGTGTCTTTATTTCATAATCCAAATATTTTCAGGGATCAATGATTTTGCATGACTTGAAGATTTGTAATTCAGACTTAAAAAAAAAAAAGTTTTGCTCATTTTATTTACATTTCCTTTATCAAATGTCAATATGATGTTGTAGTTGCGAGCTTGCCTTTTATGGGATTCATCCTTAGTAAGGAAGAGGGTTTTTTAGCATATGCTGAAGAGGTCAGGTGTAAAATAAGTATCAAACTTCTTCCTATATTTTTAAAAGACAGCTCAGTTACTGTAAAACCAGTTAATATTAGTTAAGAAAAGCACTTAAGCATTTCTTCAATTTTAAGCTCTTAAATAATTAAATGGCCTTTGGAATTGTGCCTCTTATCTTTGAATCTGTTTATGTTGGGGTTTATTGAAATGTTTAAATTAACATACCCAAATGTTTTGCCAAATTTGGAGTTAAATTTCCTATTAACTTTGAGATCTTCCCTTTGCAGAAACTCTTATGAAGGCTTTATTACAACCCCTAATGATTAAAAATTTTAAAAAAAAAATCTTTACTGTTTATTGTATGGAAAAGTAACTGCTGTTTAAAAAACACAAGGCATAGTTGTTGATTGCAAGTTTATATAAAATATATATTTAGACTTTTTAGCATGTTAAAGCTGGTGTATATGTATGTTTGGTTTTATGTAATATACAATTTTTCCTGTGTCTTCATTTAAAGAACTCAGCTATCTGTAAAAAAATTTGTAGAACCAACACTAAAAATACACATCAGTTTTCAGTCCTGGTATTTATCAGTGAGTCAAGTTCTGCCTTGGGTTATGCTAAAAAAAAAACCAAACCACCAAACGTGGTACACAGGCACTTACTACGGAGGTGAATAATAATGGCACATCATTTTATTTTGTTTCTCTGTTAAATAGACACTCCCAATGTAGTATCACCTGATATATTGCCCTGTGTTGATTAACTTTGTGTTTTACTTCCTTTTACAAAGCAAAATTTTAAACAAATTCATTCACTGCCTATCTACAGTCACAAGGTTAACAGGTGAATAGTTTACTGTACTAATTGGCTCTAAGTTATCATTTAAGTATTTCCGTCAGGTTTAGGGTTCTGCACTGGATAAATCCCCTGGACTTTGATAACAAGAGCGCCACATTTTGGACAGAACTATGGACTTTGGTATAGGTAGATGAATTATTTTTGTTGTATAGACTATGTGGTAAAGCTGCGGAAGTCCAGATTGGATGAATAATTCAAGTTTGATAATGTCATATAGAATTGGCCAAGTTTTTAGTTACTTCACCTTGTCATCATCAAGTAACTTGCTGACTTTGATATCAAGAACAGTTTTCTGTGAATAGATAGCTTTAAACAAGGTGACTGTGATGAACTTGATTCCTGTTCTTTTTAGAGATGTTAGAGAAAGCAAAAATATGAGTAAGTGCAATTGAATAAAAGTATGAGTCAGCAGTACTGTTCGTAGCTTACTGTTTGAATCAAGAACTCTTCTAATGTTTCAGCAGCTTGCTGAATGTGCCACATGTCCATTGGGTCTCTACCCAAAATTTCTACATGTATCAAAAATAAATGCAGAAACACTTTTGTATGAATGTTGTTAATGGGCAGAAAGAAATGGTAGCTGATAGATGTGTTTTCAATTTGACAAATTCTTTAGAAAAACATGGTATAATCTTACATTGGATATATAGGAAAAATTTAAAGAACAAAAGAGCTCTGGACGCTATTTACAAAATAAACCCTGTTTGAGAATATGGGAGATGCATGATCTGCTGCCTGAAAGGTTCAGATTTGTATTGCCCACACTGCAAGGGAAAGCCTAACTATAAACTAGAGCAGCATGAGGGATGTCTTCATTACTCCTCTTGGTTTTTACAGAAGATCATCAATCATATGAAGGATTCAGGAGTCCCAGAGGGGCAGAGATAGTGAGGATAATGGTCACCTTAAAGGGGAAATCCCAGGTCCTGGGAAAGCTTCAAAGGCCTAGCATCTCTTGCCAATGACTGTTGTTTCAGTACATATCCTGGCACCATGATTGCCTTTCATTAGAGGTGTGCAGTTCACTCAAACTAAATTTCAGTGGTCATTTCTGTTATAGTGGGCTGCTTTTGGAATAATATCTTTTGGTCATGTGAGCACTTGGTTTTTACTTTAAATTGCCTAGTATATTAAAAAAAATCTTAATGTGGACTGGTTTATTATGATTTTGTGAAACTGAAAAAAGTAAGCTATAATAATTTATAATAAACTATTACAAAAAAATAGCTGATTACCTGAAAGTTGAAATAAACAGTTTTCTGTAGTCTTTTGAGTAGAGAATGGTTGTGGGGTGATTTATGATGAATTTCTATACTGTAAATCATACACTTGTAAGTTCATGTGCCACATGAATGGATCATACCTGATGAAGGTGGGCAAATTTAATGCCCCAATTAATCACATGCGCACACAGGCAGTTACTTAAAATCTTCATCTTGATCTGGTCTTGGAGGTAAATCTTGAGTGTTTTTTTGTGTGTGGTTATATAATATTGAACTTCTCCACTTGTCTGTCTTCCATGTATTCAGATAACTGGTTTCACACCGCTGTGTGCTTTGTGCCTGCATTTGTGAAAAGGTAGGATTCATCTCTCTGTTTGCTGAGCTGTCAAAGCCAGCCCAGTATTTCTACAGAAGGATAATCTTGTAAATTGAGCAGAACATACTGAGAATTACTTGGCAGGATGTTCTCAAGAGGGAATTGCTCTTTTAGTTAGGCCTTGAGATCTTTACTGGTTTTGGCTGTTTGGTGGCTCTTGCCAGGAGAGTTGAGGGAAGAAGGATAGACAGTAACTTACTGTCGTTACATTTCAGTGCACGGGGTAGGGGTTAGACCTTCACCTACTTGTGGCTCCATTAATTTATTTTTATCTGATCTTTGTGCTGTTCAATATACGGTTTTCTCCAGTTCTGTGCTGTTTCCCGTAGGATGATCTAATGTGTTGTGACCTTAGTTCATTTCAAATCAATATGAATCATATAAAACACAACCTTTTGAGGTTAGAGAGATTTTATAATACTTGGTGATTTCAAGTTCTTAATACTTTTAAACCTGGAGGACAGATTAGTTAACTAGCTTTTCCAGAGCCCGTGTAGGAAGGGTTTGTTTTAAATTATACTTTCTATTAGTATTCTCTTAAAACACTATTTCCTGTTTCCAGAAATAATTCCAAATTAGTTTAGTTACACCCAGCAGGACTAATTATCCTAAATGTCAGTGTTACAAAAGCAATAAGGTACGTCCAGTACAAGAAAAACACTGTTATGCATGAACCTGTTGCATAAATGAGTTAGAAAAAACTTGTCACTAAGGTACTTGTCTGAAAAATCCTTGGATGGTAGGTTTGTTTCTCATTCTTGGACAGATTTGTCTATCCCCGTTTCTGATCCTAGGTACATTTATGTATGTAGCTCAGGTTTAACAGAGCTTTCCCACTGCTAGAGATACTGGAGGAAAGAAACATTTGGGAGGAGTCTCATTCTATAGCTGTCTCCCACCCCTCTGTAGCATTACAGACCACTTCCCCTAAAAGGGTTGCCATTATTTTCTTTTTGCAGATGGAAGAATTTTTAAATTATTTATAAAGAGTGTGTTAAAAGGGAATGAGCAGTGAACAATGCAGAGGCAAGGATGCCAAGTTATTCAGGTTAGTAAAGAGCAGGGCTGATGAAACTTAATATATATATATATATGGTGAGCTTAATAGAAAAACAATCCTCATGTATAGAAAATAGCCATTTCTGCTGAGGAGTTATAATCCAGAAAAATAGCTATTGGTTTCAAGTGTGTGCTAGTAGTTAAAAAAGCAAACTGAATTTTAGGAATGATTAGGAAAAGCATATAGAACAAAAAGGATAAAAGTAATTATTCCACTGTATAAATCAGTGATTTGCATGTATCTTGAATACTGTGTGGTTTATTTCTTACATGTTAAAAAGTTTGTAGCACTCAAGAGGTTTGTGGGAGGATAAGATGGATGCTGAAAGGAAGGAATCAGCGTGAGCTGTAGCTAGGTAAGAATTCTTCACTTGGGAAGAAGGATGACTGAAGGGAGTTGTGTTAGATATCCGTAAAACTAAGAGGGACAAGGAGCTATTTTTAAGACCACTGTATTTGGCAATGCTTTCCTGTGGCCTCTAAACATTTGCAGCTCATGGGATTCCAAAGCTGGACAGGGCTTACAGACACTTAATAAACAGCACGCTTAAAGCAGCCTTTGGCACTGCTGCTCCTCCATATGGGTGGGGATGAAGCAGAGACACATACCACAAAAGCGATCAAAAGGGACTTCAGGCTCTTAGGACAGTCACTGAAGGATTCGGGGTACAGGTAATATTCTCCTCCCTCCTTCCAGTTAAGGGCAGCAATGGTGGGTGGAACAGGCAGACGCAGTCCATAAAGGCATGGCTCTGTGGCTGGTGTCAACACCACAACTTTGGGTTCTTTGACAATGAGGTGGCCTACACAGCACCAGGCCTGATGAACCCTGATGGGATTCATCTCTCTC